CTCAAACCCTTCTTCCAGAATGGTCTCTAGCCTTGGAATAGTTGAAGATTTTGTGGGATTAATGAGAATGGATGGTGCCACTGCACCCCAGTTTTGCTTGTATCCCACCTCTTTCATCATCTTCAAGACTTCGAAAAAAAGATTATAAAGATGTGATTTTTTTAATGATTTTGCTGATTCAGGGAGATTGTTATGTTTCAACTAATTGTGAGGATTTATATAGGAGGAGATGAACAAGAGGTAAAATAAGGAAAGAAAACTAAAAGGACAGGAAGCTGGTTGGCAATTTGGACCAAATTAAACAGTATTATCTCATGATGGAGGTTAGCCCAGGTAAGAATCTTACCAGTATTTCGACCTTTTCTTTTGTCCATTTTCTTATTCCGTTAATCTTGTTATAAAATAAAATATAGGTTGCTGTCCTTCGAGAAGATTTCCTTTGCTTTTATTGTTATTATTTAATAAAAAAATATTTTATGCTCAAAAACAGACTGGCGGTTGAAGGAGCGGATATAGGAAAAAGAAAAGATAATGAAATAAACAAAATCAAACACGAGTGGGCAACCATTGAAATAGTCTAAAATAAAGAAATTAATCTTAAACCAGAATTGCCTATCCAGCTCAGTTGGTAAGAGCGCAAGGCTCATGTTAGAGGGATCAAACATTGTAGACCAGCCTACTATCCTACATTCTCTTACCTCATTACAAATGAAAATAGGGTTAGCTAATTTTAATCTTAAACAAACGTGACCTCCAAGGCGTGCAAACAACGTCTAGACATAGTCAAAGCCATCTAGAAGTGGAATCTAGATGTACAAGTAACCATTTGACATGTGAAAATGTCTAACCGGATCATGCCAGCAATTGATCTATCCTAAAATTGATCAAAGAAAATGAAATTATGGTAAATTATATAAGTGTTCATCAAGTAAATTTCCTCTTTTCTCATTGATTTTTAAAAGTAAAGATTTCTATCACTAATATTGTCGATCTATAATAAATGAATCACTAGATCGTCAACAATCAGTACTAACAGGGACGAACACAGAACCTCATGTTAGAGGGATGAACTTTAATTTATAAAATTATAGGGGGTGATATCAATATTTTTAATAAAAAAATACATAAAAATAAAAATATATGATAATTTAAAATATTTGAGAACGACTATTTCCATCCATGTCGCCTAGACCCTTACCCGATTATTAGAGTAGCATAATGCTGATTTGGCACATTAATTAATCTTTTTTGGCCTCATTTCGTCATGTTAGATAATCATTTTAACCGGACTCTGTTCAACACTTCTTTTTACAGCAAAAAGAAAAAAGAAAATAAGGTTCAGCAATTTAACATAAGTGATTGAACATCATAAATGATTGACAACTCAACACCAAAACTGATATCTTAATCCCTAGGCGTTGAAAACGAGCCACTATGAAACTTCTCTCCACAACTTGTTCTTCTTGACAAGATTCATCATATCTTCATCTACTTGAAAGCCTAGGGTCGATAGATGTGGCAAGGATGGATCGAGGAGAGCTAGGTACGGACGTACTCCTAGAAATTCTAAAATATTTTAAGCATTTTTTATATATTTTCTTATTAATTATCTAATTTTGTACCATGACATTTTTATAATTAGGTAGCTTTAAATTTTTAATTTAATTTGTTAAGTTAAATCCCTAATATAAATTCATCCTTTCCTCCCCGAGCTCTTGGTGGATGAGATTATTTGAAATAAGGTTGAAGGAGAAGAATAGGAAATCTGGTTTGAATTTAATCAGTTATCCTTCATTGGAACCTCATATATTTCTATCCAGGAACGCATAGAATAGTATGTATGGCCGGGGTTTCAAAAGTTGAGTACATATTCCTGTGGAAGACAGAGTGTTTATGTACATACAACGTCTGGCATTCAATGCACATTTCGTTCTAATTGCATTCTACCGGGAAAAAAAAGAGTATAGTTATATATAATTTATCGTACTACATCAGCAAACCGTTAAAGGTTTAACGACCGTTAATTTTTACTGACCCCATCTTAATTAAAACGAAATGAAAATGACCAAATCTTATGTTTCTTGAATTCAGTGAGGAAAAATTTATAAAACTCAAACGAAAGTGACAATTTCTGTAGTTTTTCCTAAAAAAAAAAAAAAAAGTGTTAGAAGACACTCTAAAAATCATCATAAGTTTTTATAATTATAATTATTATGTTTTACAATAAATTTATGAATTTTAAAAAAATCATACTATAATTTCTATAATGATGCCGATAATATACATTATGTCTAGAACCGTGATAAATACGACGTGATCACGATCACAATTTAAATTCCTGAATGCAGCATAAGGGATTTTGGGTTATGTGGTGTTTAGTATTTGTGTGAATAGGTTGAGGCAGAGGGTTGTTGATGGAACTTGGGCATAACTCAGTTTTTTTGGATCTGACCCTTTTTGGTTAATTCTTTTTTTAGTACTCTAAAAAGAAGAATTATTTTTATCTAATCTTAGGATGCCGGAGTTATCAAGTTGATCTGTTGGCAGGTGGTTGAATGCGATTAGAAACCGGAGAAAAAAGGGATAGGAAAATGTTGGTGGATGATACCAGTATTGGCATTCAATCCTATGACATGTTTCAAGCAAATATTTCTGAAATGAACGTTTAAAAAACATATTGTAAACAGAAACTTCCAAAAACCAGAGAGACTGGGAGGTGTTGGATTGATAAATATAAAATTTTGAACATTGCAAAGAGCATTTACCCAAAGTACATGCCTCATCCATCTCACATTACAATGCCATGAACTTATTTAACATGAATTTCTCTGTAGCATTGAATTTAGTGAGCTTCTTCCATTTTCCAGGCTTCTTATCATTAACTCAAAACTTTCAAACCTTTCAAGCATCGATCATTCCGGCAAAGAAAGCCATAACATTGAAAAATCATCCACACGAAACCCACTGTTTTGTTTCCCTCGAATCCGTTTTCAAGCACAAAGAGTCAGATCCTTGTTTAGCGCAAAATAGACAGCCGTGGACAACACCAGGGGAAGGAAAGCCAACACTTTCTTGGGAAAAAACTGCATGATTCTCACACCCTTCTTCCAGAATGGTCTCTAGCCTTGGAGAAGTCGAAGATTTTGTGGGATTAATGAGAAGGGATGGTGCCACTTCACCCCAGCTTTGCTCGTATACCACCTCTTTCATCATCTTTAAAACTTGGAAAAAAAGATTGGAGTTTTTTTTATGGTTTTGGTGATTCAGGGAGATTATTATGTTTCATCTGATTGTTTTGAGTAAATTATGTGGAATTTATACAAGGGAGATGAACAAGTAGTTCGGGAAGAAAAACGAACAAGACAGGAAGTTGGTTGGCAACTTTTGACTAAAATAGGATTTGACAACCATGCTGCCCTTCCAGAGGATTTCCTTTTATTTATTTGTAGGTAAACTACATCATCACCAACGTTATCTTTATTTTATTATTATTAATTAGGGTTCAGTTTTGAGATCTCATTGGTCAAACAAAATCTTCTAGATTAGTTCACGTGTGAATAATCAACTTTCTAGTTAGACGTGTAAATTTCTTTTTTTAGGGCATCTTAGAATGTCAGAAAGGAATGGTAAATGTCACCTTATTTCAATTTATAATGTTGTGCTAATCTTTGGCTCAGAGATATGTGGGTAATCTTTGTGTCCCATATGTGATCGGATATGATATTGTCGTCTTAGAAATAATTTAACATAATCTCACCTGAATATGAGTAACATAGGATCCAAGCACTTTCATGGCTATATGTTTTTGGTTCAAGATGCATGAGTGGTGGTAAATATAAACCATACATGCATGCAAAGAAGACAGCTAAAGTCGACAAAGACTAGCTTTCCTTACAAGATTTCATGGATCGATCCATCTCAGGCGATGTTCGGGAAGATAGTAACTTGAAAACGTACATCGTTACGATCGATCAATTCAAACAGGCAAACGTCCTGTTCTTGCAGGCGATTATCCTTGGCAAAATCGGCCCAACCAGCGCACAATCTAGCATATCGTTGATGATTGCGCATATTCACAAGCCATGTTTTATCTGAAACCTCGAGTTTTATGGTCATCGCCATTCGTTTCCAGCCATTTTCCCTGAATCTTTTCGGTACATTCTGCGTTTAGAAACAAGTTTTTTCTATTATCAGACAGATTAAACCAAACAAACACAGCGACATGTATGAAATTACCACAGAACGTCTGTTCACGTAAGAATGTGTCATGGTAACTTTGAAGAATGGATATTTGGAGCTGTAATTCTGGGCAGTTTCGATACCACTGGTTTTCTTCATATTTTCCCTTTGAACAAACAAGTTTCCCTCATCATCACTATTAGATATTTCTATATACTCAACCTTTTTCCCACCTGAACACTCGTTAAATACTATGGATCTCCCTTCACCTCTTCTATGCACATGACTCAAGTTTCCAAGATTCTTTCTCCGAACGTTTCAGATCGGTCTCGGTCGATATGCGGGGACTGGTTTGCCTGCTGTTATTTTCCTTTCATGCTTTCTCAACGTTTCTTCATTTTTTTCTGCAGCAGTTTCTGCCATAAATTTCGAGCTTGAATCTGAAATTGCCATGGTAGCTGAAAACTATGAGGTCTCCCTTCTCTAGAGAGTTTTGTTGCACGAATTGCTTCCAACCGTTGTTGAAACATAAATTATCATCAATCTTTTCAACATCAACATGCCAAAATCTCCCATCACAGGTTTCAAGTACAGAATCTTGAGGTAATTTCTCTAGGAGGTTCTCCTCCAGGTTCTTTATAAAAGCTGGTGGGATTCTCTATCAAACAAAATCAAGAGATTTAATAACAAGTAATTAACATAAAATATTAAAACATTAAGTTGTGATACAAAACAAAAAAAGTAACTTTCAATGAATTCATCAATTCTTCCTCAAATACATTAGATTTCAAAATCTGCAACTCTGACAAAAACTGTGTGTGCTTCTTTGGAGTTGAATTTCTCATCCTTTTGTAATCATCACCTGCAAACTGATGCCCATATCCTTTGCACTAGGCTATTCAACCTACTGGAAGAATGCTTATTTCCTCCAACAAGTCTTTCGGCTGCCGGTCCCTTTTCATGCACAAACTTTACAGACTCCCATAATCGATTGAGTAGATTCATTAGGGCGATTACTTCATTCCTTTGCATCTGCAACTGAGGGTCGATAAATCGAACTTGAGTCTGAATGGAAAGTTCTTTACATAAAATGTACCTTACATAGATATGTATGCTTACAAACTAGATTCTAACAGAAAGCTAGATATGAAATACAAGCAAAAGCCTTCTTCGTAATGGCAAAATCCGAATGCATAATATAGAAAGAAATTAGAACTGAAAATTGAACGCTATAAATGGGGAAGGGCACTTACTGTCTGAATCAAGTTCTCCTCACCATTAACTGAAAACAGAATCTTCAATGCAGTTCCAAGACCAGAAACCTGAAGCTTTCCCCAAAGTCGACATTTTTCGCACCCTACACAGTCCATCACCGCACTACAAAACCAATGGCAATTATTACATCATTTCCAAAATCATTGGCACAGATATCAGACGTTAACAATAAAAGAGAAGATGAAACAGTTTTTCAAAGTTTTCAGCGAGGGATTCGGAGGGAGGTTGAAAGACAATTTCAGATTTCATTTCTTCTTGAGAATGTTCTGCTCTGAACAAATTTTGCTTAATGTACCAACACAAACATGTTTCAAGTAAATATGTTTAGACATGCATAACCAAAAAGGAAATTGGACAAACCTGATATTTTTGAATTGTGCTTGTATTTTATGTTTCAGTTCTGGTCCTCTCTGTCCTTTCCACAATTTAGCTTCATCCAATGGAAGTGGGCATGCTGCTTGCAATTTTGGATTATAAAGTAAATTCTTCATTAGGGATTGCGTCCTTAGGTCGTCGGTTGGATTACCTGTATCATATTCAGCTTGTTCCAAGTACTCAGCTGCCTGAAATGCATCAAAGCGGGCAAGTAAATAGAGATTTATCAAGTACTCAGCATTGTTCCAATTTTTGTTTTCGCCTAGTTTGGGTAGATTACTTAAGTACTCATGCCTACTCACCTTTGTCACAGCTCGGAGAACAAAGAGGAATGCAAAGTACAAGTTTTCAACTCGATCTGGATATTGTAAAACCCGATCATACAGTATTTCGAGATTGTGGCCCTACAAAAATAAGGAAGATCAAATAAACAGTGTTAGATCTCTGTAACGTTATAGTGCACCTATGGAATTAAGTTCATAAACAAGCAAAAGATGAGTACTGGGTGACACAGAAATGAGAATTTATACCAAATTTGTGGATTCATCAAGTAGATAATCAGAAGCTATATGGACCGAAATAGATGAGTGAAGACCAGAAATCAGCTTGTACAGTATTTTCACTTCTTGGCATAACTCTTCAGCCGGATCTGTATATTAGAGCACAAATGAATAAAATATATATTTTTTTAAAAAGGTGTCTCATTAGACTGTACCTTCCAATCTTCCATTAATGACGATTGTTATAAAGTGTACTCAATATTACAAAAAAAATCACCTACCATGGCAAGGTCGCTCATTGGACTGTTCCCATCTTCCATTAGGACAATGTTATTAAGTGTACTCAATGTTGCGGAAGACGGCTATCGGATAGAGCAAAATCGCAACTGATAATTTGAGAAAATAAAAATGAAGATAAAAGAGACACAAAATTTACGTGGAAAACCCCTAAATAATATAGGGTAAAAACCACGGGCAATGGTAGAAGAATTTCACTATGAGAAAATAGGAATTACAACTTCTCTCTATCTACCAAGGAGAAAACAATGATAATTCTCTCTTGATAAAAAGGAGAAAACAACTCTCAAGAAACTCTCTAAAATCTCTCTAGTATTGGAAGAAAGCTAGAATGCTTTGGGATGATTTTAAAGCTAAATGAGCTAGGGTATTTATAGTTGAAGCTTTAAGGACTAACTTGTAAATACTCTAAATTACAATGACTAAATTATGCTTATACCATTTAGCAATTTCAACAATTGTGTGCTCTTTTTTGACCATTGCAGCGAATTGTGCATTAATGCACCGTTTTCGGTGCTGACTTTTAACAATCTCCCACTTGAAGATTTGATTGGAACAATCATATCTTCACACCATTCATTCTACCTTGTACCATCATGTTGCTTACGTTTCTGACAGGCCACAAGAGGATCGACACCAAGTAAATTTATCAGCATTGATCGCCTTCGTCATGAAATCTGCTATGTTGTCTTTTTTATGGATCTTCTGCATATCTACCGTCCCTTTTTCCACCTTTTCACGAATGAAATGGTATTGAACTCATATGTTTTGTCCTTGAATGAAATGATGGATTCCTTGCTAGATGCAAGGCGCTTTGACTGTCACAAAACAGAGAGACAAACTCTTGATTGTGCCCAAGTTCCTCCAATAGCATCTTCAACCAAATTGCTTCTTACTGGCTTGTGTAGCTACTACATATTCTGCCTCTGTTGTAGATGTAGCCACAACTGACTGCAATTTTGAAACCCAGCTTACAGCTCCACCAGCAACTTTGAACACATATCCTGTAGTAGATTTACTTTTATCCAAATCTCCTGCATAGTCAGAATCGACATACCTATTTATAAGTAAGTTTGATCCTCCGTAACATAATGCAACATTTGAGGTCCCTTTGATGTATCTTAGGATCCTCTTTACAATATTCCAATGCTCTTTTCCTGGATTCGTCATGTACCGACTAACCACTCCCACTGCTTGTGCAATGTCTGGTCTTGTGCATATCATAACGAACATTAAACTTCCCACTGCTGATGCATACGATACTCGAGACATCTCCATCCTCTCTTCTTCACTGCTAGGACTCATACTGGAGGATAATTTGAAGTTAATAGGAAGAGGGGTAGAAATTGGCTTACAATCTTGCATGCTAAATCGTGACAAGATTTTCTTCAAGTAGTTCTTTTGTGGAAGCCAAATCTTCCTATTACTTCTGTCTCGGTGAATTTGCATCCTTAGAATCTTGTTTGCTGATCCCAAGTCCTTCATTTCAAATTCCCTAGCCAGTTGTGCATTCAATTCTTCAATATGATCTTTGTTGGGTCCTGCAACCAACATGTCATCCACATACAACAACAAAATAACAAAATCGTTATCACCAGACCTCTTGAAATAAGCACAAGGGTCTGCATTAAGTTTGTTGTATCCAAGGCACATAATGAAGGAATAAAATCTCTTATACCAATACCTCGGCGCCTGCTTTAGACCGTACAGAGATTTGTTCAACCTGCAAACCAAGTTCTTCTTTTCGTCTTCTTCAAAACCTTCAGGCTGGAGCATATAAATCTCTTCTTCAAGATTTCCATGAAGAAAAGCTGTTTTAACATCTAGCTGTTCCAAATGTAAATTCAATGTAGCACACATTGCCAAGACTACTCGAATTGTTGTTAGTCGAACCACAGGAGAACAAATTTCATTGAAATCAATACCTTCTTTCTGAGCATATCCTTTGACCACCAGTCTTGCACGATACCTCTCCACACCATTTCGCTTGATTTTGAAAACCCATTTGTTACCAATTGGCTTCCTTCCTTGTGGTAGTGGCACAAGGTCCCATGTATTATTTTTATGAAGGGCTTCGATTTCTTCTTGCATCGCCATCATCCACAGTGAAGCATCTGAGCTGTTTATTGCCTCATGGTATGTTGATGGCTCACCGTCCTCTGTTAAAAGGCAGTATACAATATTACCTTCTATAACATAATCTGAGTGCCAATTGAGACGTCTTCTCACATGATCTGATTGACGAGTTGTTGGAGCTTCAGAACTCTCTGGTTCTTGTTCATCATGTGCTGGTTCTGCTTCAGAAGAATCTCATTCTTCAAACTCTTTTTTCCACATGTATCTGAGTAGTCTCTGACTTTTCAGCGCTATCATCGTCTTCTTTTCTTTGTAGTTTATCTTCTACAAAGATAACATCCCTGCTAATTATTACTTTGCGGGCAGTGGGATCCCACAAGCGATACCCCTTTACTCCATCAGCATACCCCAAGAATTTGCATTTCCTGGATTTTGGATCTAGCTTTGAAATTTCTTGGGCGTTGTACATCACGTACACAATACTTCCAAATACATGGAGGTTTGAATAATCAACTGGTTTACCAGTCCACATCTCCATTGGTGTCTTCAGCTCTATTACAGTTGATGGAGCTCGATTCACCAAATAACAGGCGGTATTAACTGCTTCTGCCCATAATGATTTTTCTAGGCCTGCGTCCCTCAACATTGCTCTTGTTCTTTCTAACAAGGTTCTGTTCATCCGCTCTGCCACTCCATTTTGTTGAGGAGTGTTTGCCACTGTGAACTGTCTTTTGATGCCTTCTTTCTTGCAAAAGTCATCAAATTCTTCGCTTGTGTATTCTCCTCCATTATTTGTTCTGAATCACTTGATCTTATTTCCAGAATCAAGTTCCACCCGCGCCTTGAATTTTTGAAAGTTGAAAACACGTTTGACTTCTTCTTGATAGGGTACACCCAACATCTCCTGGAGTAGTCATCAATAAATGAGACAAAGTATTTTGCTCCACCTAGGGATGTAACTGGTGCTTGCCATACGTCAGAGTGAACCAATTCTAGAACATTTTTTCCTTTAGAATTTGATTTGTTGAATTTCAACCGGTGCTGCTTACTTGTTATGAAATGCTCACACAAAGGAAGTGTTACCTTTGTTAAGCCTGGAAGTAGTTTTTGCTCCACAAGGACTTTCATTCCTTGTTCTGACATGTGTCCAAGTTTCTGATGCCATAACATTGTAGAATCTGAACTACATGAGGCAACAGAGGCTTTTGCTTCTAGCAATGTCTCTCCCTTCAGTATGTACAAGTTTGCAGCTATCTTTTCACCTTTCAGCACCACAAGCGCTCCACGGAACACCTTCATGATTCCTTTCCGTATTTCAATATTGCTTGCATTATTATCCAACAATCCGTAGGATAATAAATTTTTCTTTATGCCTTTCACGTGCCGCACATCTCGAACAACTTTAATTGTTCCATCATACATCTTCAATTTGATGGTTCCCACGCCAATGATCTCTAAGGCATGATCATTACAACTATACACAGATCCTCCTGAGACGGGTTCATATTGATGGAACCATTCTCTTCTTGAGGTCATGTGATATGTTGCTCCTGAATCAATGAGCCATATATCTGTAAATTTTTTTCTTCCTTCCACGGTGGTTGACGCTTCACAGCATAGTGCATCTACATCATCTGAAGTGTTTGCGGTATTACCTTGTGGATTGGAGTTTTTATTTAGACTCCAACAATCCTTCTTCAAGTGACCCTTCTTTCCACAGTTGTAGTACTTTAAATTCTTCTTGCTCCTCGACTTCGATATACTATGTTTGTGATTGCTGCTTTGGCCACGTTCTGTTGATCTCCCTCTCATCGTTATCAATGCCTCTGCTTGTTGCAGATTTACTTGTCTGTCTTCCTTGTTCTTGCGTCGATTTTCTTCTTGGAGAACAACAGCTGCAACGTCATCGAAGACTAGACTGGTGACATTATTGTTTGTCAAGTTGATGATGAGTTAATCATACGAATCAGGTAGACTTTGAAGTAGAAGTTCAGCACGTTCTTGTTCTCCTATTGTACATCTTAAGGATGTAAGCTGAGAAAATAACGTGTTCAGTGTGTTTAAGTGCTCCGTCACTGAAGTAGATTCTGGCATACGGAGAGTGTATAATTTCCTCTTAAGGAAAATTTTATTGTGCAACGATGTGGCCTCGTACAATTTGGTGAGATGATCCCATATCTCCTTAGATGTCTTCTTTTCCTCGATGCTTGACAATACTTCATCTGCTAATGCTAGATGAAAGTTTGCCATAGCATTTCCGTCCATTTCGATCCATTTGTTGTCATCTGTAAAATCTACCGACCTTTCACTGATAGCTGCTAGACATCCGTCTTTCCTCAGGATGGCCTTCATCTTCAATTTCCACAATGAGAAATTTCTCCCATTAAATTTTTCAATATCAAATTTCGTTGCCATAGCTTCTATTACGGATAGCTCCCACTATTTCACTATCGTGAATAGTTCTTTGGAACCTTCAAAGAATGGGTAATACCTTCTTACTTTCTTATGTTGGAGGATCCACCTTTTGGTGGCAACCACAAAGACAATAAACAGATATTACACACTCTAATCTAACTCGGATACCAATTGTTGCGGAAGACGGCTATCGGATAGAGCAAAATCGCAACTGATAATTTGAGAAAATAAAAATGAAGATAAAAGAGACACAAAATTTACGTGGAAAACCCCTAAATAATATAGGGTAAAAACCACGGGCAACGGTAGAAGAATTTCACTATGAGAAAATAGGAATTACAACTTCTCTCTATCTACCAAGGAGAAAACAATGATAATTCTCTCTTGATAAAAAGGAGAAAATAACTCTAAAGAAACTCTCTAAAATCTCTCTAGTATTGGAAGAAAGCTAGAATGCTTTGGGATGATTTTGAAGCTAAATGAGCTAGGGTATTTATAGTTGAAGCTTTAAAGACTAACTTTTAAATACCCTAAATTACAATGACTAAATTATGCTTATACCATTTAGCAATTTCAATAATTGTGTGTTCCTTTTGATCATTGCACCGAATTATGCATTAATGCACCGTTTTCGGTGCTGACTTTTAACACTCAATAGATCAAAAACACGCCTACCATGGTAATTAATACAGTTCTCCAACCGGCTAAGATTCAATTCAAGTTATGTTGATTGAAGGTTCATCATCAGGCATTCAAAACTTTAGTTATCATTACAAAATCAATTTGTTAAGAGATAATTGACCAATGCCTCTACTCGTTCACGAAATGATTTGGCATCTTTCATTCACATACACATGTAAAAGAAGATCAGCGAGAACTTACATCTGGGACAGTTCTCTGAGTACACAGCATCCCATATCCTTCTGGCTGATGAACCACTGCGGCCTGTATAGAGCTCTGGGTTCAGTTTAAGATTTACACAAGTCACCTCAGCTGCAAAGAACAATAACTTACAAGATCAACCGTTTAGAGTAATAATGTTGAAAAGTGAGAACACCATAATTCTCACTGCAAATCTTAGCACAGTTTAGATAGTTATACCTGTAAACGAATTGAACGTTCAGCGAACCGTTCGGTGGGAAGTTCGTGTATGTTCTTTTATTTATTAAACGAACGAACATGAACAAGATTTTACGATCATTTAATTAAATGAATGAACATGAACAGAGAGCTCATTCGTTCATTTAAGTTCGTGAACGTTCGGTAATATATTTGTTCATTTATATTCGTTCGTTTATGTTCGTTCGTTTGTGCTTGTTTGTTTATGTTTAGCCCTATCTCTCTAGACCCATTTAAAATATTAAAGCCCAATAAATTTTAATCTGATACCAATAAAATTTTTAAAATTCAATTAATTTTAAATATAAATAAAAAGCTCAAAACAATTAAATAAAATACAATCCTAAAAATGTTAGGAAAGAAAAATAATCTATTTTCATTTATGTTCGGTTACGTTCGTTTATGTTCATTTATTGTGTTCGTTTACGTTCGTTCATTTATGTTCGTTTATTATGTTTGTTTATATTAGTTTACATCCGTTCGTTTATCATTTAAATGAACAAACACGAACACGAACAAGCTACATTCCTTAACGAACAAACTCGAACAAGAAATTTTTTGTTCGTTCATTTGTTCGGTTAAAGTTAAACAAACATGAATATACCCCGTTCGTGTTCGTTTAAAGGTCAATAGATGGTACTAGAAAAAAGGGAAGTTTCTTCAATGTTCTTATTAAATGAATGATAACGATGATGATTTCCATTTTCCATCTACTTTTGCCGGCTTCAATACAAGCATGTGGGGCTTCTTCATTTTCTATATTTCTAAGCTTCCTCATATTATAGTTTCTTCTTCATCCATGAATTACTGGGTGATTGTCTTAACATAAACATTTTAAATGATAATAAAAACAAAGGTCAAAATCAAAGAGAGTTCACGTGGACTACTTCATGTATGAAAGAGAGGAAAACTCATGTGATAAAAGGAAAAGCAGAGCCAACTAATTAATATTATTTCAATCTTATTTAATGCTTCTTCAAAATAAAATGGCCAATCCATCAAAATTTTTAAAAACAAGAGAAAATGGCTACTCATAAATTTGGTACCCCACAATCTTTTATTGCCAAATGTCTCTCCCTAACAGTATGAAATCAATACAAAACCACAGAAAATGATTCATATGTCCCTTTCTCTCTCATGCATGATATAAATGATATTAAAATGAGGAACCCTACTGCTCGTTTCCAGAACCATATACACTAATCAATTCCAAATTAAATGTATTAATGATCAATCTTTAATTTCGTAGGCCATGCGCCACTAGCTTCGTTGAAACTCCATGGAGTAAATATACAAACCTTCAAATCCAGTTGGACTAATATCACAACAAGATCCCTTTCATTACCTAAATTGTTCAAAGTGGTATACATTGTGCTATAATCACCAGATTTCTATCAGAAACAATGTTGAACAAGAGTGTCACACAAGAATATTTAAGAAAAATGATACGTCCAAACGTTGTAAACCATAACTAATGGAATTACAAACCCGGAACGACATCCAAGTTTCAACCTCTACCTTGTATCTGCAAGGTCTGGTTAACCCTCTTAAGAATTTGAGGAGATTGTTACTAAAGTATCCATTAACTTTGAAAAAGAAAACTGTATTAAATTTATTGAATAAAAACTGAAAAATAAGCACAAACTACTTTTCTTGATGAACTGATAAGTATATGACATAAAGGATGACATCTTCGTACCTACAATATTCACATATAAGAGGGATTATAGTTAAAGGACTGCAAATTCAAAGTTCTTACAACATCAATCTAGTCACAGGTGTGTGCACTCTTACAAGCATATGCCAGAAATGAAAACAACCAGCAGGTGCATTTGGATATCAGTTGAAGCTCAAAAGCCGAATAGCTTGCAGTGCATTGTTCTTACCTACATTAATTGATTGCTTTCAATGGCAGTCCCGAGCTAGGTTTTGCTTTCAAAGGACACAGCACCGAGATTAAGCTACTACACAAAACAAATTTGTTGCTTGATCATCAGCTTTACGAAAGCAGGCCACCCCTTCTTACCCTTGACCATAGTGCTTGACTGCTCTCCATGAAAAATGCAAAATGAACTGCTCGCCCTGAAAAATGCAAAATGAACTTTAATTTCAGCGGAGACAGGTAAAAGGTACGTAAGCAAGTAAAAGATTAAAAACAGAATGATAGCCGGAATGCATTCAATGATGTTTCTCTGCAAAAACTTCATTTCAAGCAAAAGGTTTCTCAAATGAAAATTGAACTCTAAATCAACCACTACGAAGTATAATCATGCTTGTTCTTCCCTCTAATTCACAAAGAATTATAAAATTTAGGGGGGGGGGGAAACATAATAAAAGTTAATTTCATCTTAATATACATGCATTACCAAAAGCATATTTATAGCTTAAAACCATATATCTAATCAAAGGTCTAAATGGTGGTGAATAAATAAATGCTCACAAACAGCATACATGCTCCATCATTTGAAACTAATCAATCCATATGAGGCAAACATCAAAACACTTTTCTAACAAATTAATCAGCATAAACCAGTAATTCCAGCATTTGAGATTTTTACCACTGCAAGTGAGGAAACAGGAATCAAAAGGAGTTCATCTCCAAGCAGTATGTCCTTCTCTTGTTCAACATATTTGCCGCCGTCCCATAAGGCTCTTCAAAAGCAGTCGATAACCAAGAAGCATCTGAGACCTCTTTTATCGAAGCAGATTGTTCACTAGGCCTAATAGCAACCAAAGTAGCACCTTCTAAAACAACCCCGTTAGGCAATTCCAAATGAGGAGCATACCAGAGCCTCATATTCAATGCCGGAACCTGCGTCCTTTTCGATGCGGGGGAAGCAGATAATGGCTTCACCCTCAACTCCTCAAGCTGATCCCTGTTCATACGAAGCACCCCTTGTCCATCAGCATCGGTTAAAACCAATCTATCTAGGGTCTTATGCTCCGCAATTATCGGTTGAAGCAAATAATGCCTTGCGGATGCTGCGATTAACGAACTAATCGTCCAAACAACCCTTAATTTCAAGCCTCCATTAGTATAAAAGGATTCAGGAATACTCCCATTATCATCACCGATTCCAATATTGCCAAATTCCGATACTTGCAAATGCACGTTGTTATTAACGGAGGCAGCTCCTAGGATGACGCAGTTATCAAGGATTGATCCAAAATCCGCTCTCCATCTCAAAAGAACACCGTCATCAACCCCTAACTCGCCGCCGGGCAATTCGATTCGGAGGAAACGAATCTCGTTGAAATTCTTAAGTACTTGTGTAGGGGAATGGTGCGTAACCCCACCTTCTTCCATTTCCCCGTCATCATCACCTCCGGGAACAACGGATAGAGAGGAAGAAGAATGGCTTTTAAGGGTTTCGTTGAGAATGGACCGTTTAGGGCCGAGGAATTGACCCAATGCTTGAAGGGGTTTAACAATGCCTCCAAAAACGACACGGAAGAGGTTTGAGAAAGCACCGGCGGCACGTGATTTATAGCAGGAAGAAGACGGGGAACAATCGTCGTCGGAGATGACGCAATCGACACGGACGTCGACGTTTTCGACTTGAGGGACGAGGGAATGGAAACGACGGGAGACAACGCAACAGCGGCCGAGAGCTTTAACGTCGCCGATGTTGTTGAAGATTAGGAGAAGAAGAGAGTCAGGCAGACGGTCGAAGTGATCAATTGGTGGCGGGTGGATTCTTAGGAACGGATCTGAACTAACCGAAGACATTTACCCTCCTCTTTTATCTTATTGGGGAGGGAATTAACGGAGAGGAAAGGGGATAGATAGAGAGCTGCGTATTTTCAAGGGAAAGATGGAAGGTAAACGGAGGGAGGAGATACTTCCCCTGGTTTTGTCTTTACACAGAGGGAGAGAGGGAGAGGGAGAGGGAGAGAGAGAGAGATTGTTACAGAAAATATAATTACGGTGTCAATCGGAAGGAAAACTGAGTGATAGAGAAAAGTTTAGGGTAAAGTATACAAATGGTCATTTGATTATAAGGTAATATCTTATATTCGAAGAATCATCCGTGTATTTTACTCAAAATTTTATTGAATTTTTTTTGTCCTTAATTCAAACTATGAATTAAATGAATTATTATTTTAGAAAAACATGATATTGATGATAAAAATGTTAATATTATTTTATTTTATATAATTTTAAATATTAACATTATATTAAAAATATAATACACTTTCATTTCATCAAGTAAGAAAAATACAGTAAAATAAGTTTTTATATTAAATAATCAACAAAAATTTAAGCACAAATTTTTAAATAAATACTCATTTAATTTATAATGACTCTAACATTATTGTTAGCTGCATAGATTAATTAAAAATATGTTAAAATTTGATATCGAAATATAAAATTTTGTACAATAATTTATAATAATTCGATTTTATCAATCAAAGTCTCTATCTACTCTTTTAGCTTTACACAACTATGTATTCTCAATTCACTAACTTAAATGGAATCTTTTAAGGACAAGATTTAACCTTTAGAAACACCATCTTTTCAAAGCTTAAATAGGAACCTCTAAGATCTTTTAGAACGATGGAGATAGAATCACTCTAGTTTCTAAAGATAAAATTAGAACCTCCTCTTTCACAAGGTTTTAAATTCGTGTTTTTTAATTGAAATATGAAAAATTATAGTTTCGGTATTTGTAGTTTATTTAAAATTTTATTTGATCCTTGATTTCATTATTTCAATGATTTTTTGACTCTTAAAACTTTGAACTTAATTAATTAAGTTTCTAAAATCATCATGCAGTAATTAATGAATTATTTTGATGTCAAGATTTAAAACGGTCCAACTTGAGGATTGTGATGCCACTAATGAAAATAATATTGTTTATGATGAGGCTTTTGTTTTGTTGCTGATGGCTTCGTATAGACTAGTAGGAGTGTATTATTTTGTAGTTTAATGAAAAATATTGGGAATGCTCAAACTTTGGGGCGTTTGAACGAGAGAATATGGGATTCTCATGGAAATAAAATCTACATTCCTCCGTTTGGTTAGTCCGGGAATCCTATTTTCGGTAATGTAAGATTACCAATAGTGAATTTTTGAGTATATTACCGGAAATATCATTACCTCCATTTCCTTATGTATTGTTGGATTACCAGCGTTTTAGACTAAAATACCCTTAATTTTTTCCCCCAAAAATATCCTTCTTCTTTCATTGAATAATAAAAATTCTACGAAGGTTAAATTATAAATTTATCCTTAAACTATTTTAGATTTACAAAAAAAGTCTATAATTAAAATTTTATATGAAGTCCAGGGGTTAAAATAAAATTTTACCCTTTCATTAAACATTTTTATATTTTTAATTTTGTAAAAAAATTATATAAATTTTATGAATTTAAAATTTTTAAAGAAAATATATAAATATTTTCCAACTTGTTAAAAAAACAAATATATAATAAAGACAAATTGATCAAATATACATTTCAATAATCTTTTATTCCTTTAACCAAACACGGTAATCTTACATTCTTGCTAAACCAACCAAACACAAAATACAACATTCTCAGTAATCTTATTCCCTAGTAAACTTACATTCCGTGAACCAAACACACCCTAAAGGATTTTACGAGGGCAACAACATCTCCTAAATCAACTTTAACATGACCAGGCAACAACGGTTCAAATCCACGGTAGCCTCGTTGTCACAGCTCATAGAGATGACTGCCAATGTGCGATCGTGGAAGCAACCGCAACAAGAGACGATAATAGCCCGCATATGCACAATTATATACACACAGATAAAAGACCAAGACAAGAAATTCTAACGATATCGAACACGAGCTGCCATCCAAAATCATAAGTGTTCTTGCAACTAAATCAGATAGAATAGGAGCACTACAAGCTTTCTTTTTTTTCTTTCTTTCTAAACTACAATTTTCTCATAATATAGTGCTCATGTACTTGTATATGAGATCCAATCTCCAATTAAGGTCATTAATTGGATACATCTAGATAGTATATACATGCAATCTGAAGTACCTCATCCACCTGTGCCCCTAAAAAATCACCTTACAAAAAGGAATAAAAAGTGTACTTTCCCAATTAACACCAATTAGCAAAGATTGAAAATATTTTTTGTTTAATAGGTTTGACCAATTAAGGTCATTAATTGGATACATCTAAATAGTATATACATGCAATCTGAAGTACCTCATCCACCTGTGCCCCTAAAAAATCACCTTACAAAAAGGAATAAAAAGTGTACTTTCCCAATTAACACCAATTAGCAAAGATTGAAAATATTTTTTGTTTACATAGGTTTGACCAAAGATTAAGTTAAAAGATTTTTTTGTTATCAATCATTTTTTAATTTTATAAAATATTTTTAGTGAAAATATTAAAATCTTGAGTGCTTTTATTTTTAAAAAAACATAAAATAAATTATTTTTAAAAGGTTTAATACAAAAATGAGTGTCTAAAGAATTTTTTGCTAAAAATCTGTTTTAGTGATTAAAAAAAATTTAGTTAAAAATATGTGTCTAATATTTTCTTCGTTATACTTTTAAGTGTCCAGCTCTATCTGCTATGAAAAAAAACTGACATTCAAATAAAAAGCGACATGTGTGAATGTTTTCTTATTTTTAATAACTTTTTAAAATAATATAAAATAAAAAATAACATTTATTTTTTTAATTCTCATTTAAGGTAAACCTAAAAGTCGCCGTAATTTTTTCTCCTCACTCTCTTCTTTAAACATCGTCCTCTCATCTCCTTTCATTCTTCTTTCATTTTAATTTTATATTTCAATTTAAGGTTTAAGATTAGATGAATGTACTAAACTGAAATTCTAAAAATTATACAAAATTTGTATTTACACTTTATTCATGAGAGATATCGAGTGAATCCTCAAAATGTTTGATTATGGATTTTGTTTGATATGTGAAGACCAAGTAAAATGTTTGATTATGTACTTTGTTTGAAATGTGAAGACCAAGTAAAATGTTTGATATGTATCTTGTTTGATATGTGAAGTTCAAATAAATTGTTTATTATGTAATGTGTTTGATATGTGAAGATATAAGTAAAATGTTTTATATGTATTTTGTTTGATAGTGTTTTGTTAACAGTATGAGTGAAAACAAATTAAAAGATTAAAAATAATAGTGCACTGAGACACCTAAATTTAACAATATAATACTTTAGACACTTTTAAATAAGTCAATAATATTGTAGGCTCCTAAATCAACATTTGCACATATAATCTTTATGATAAATGCTAAGTTTGCACATTAAAATTTGCATAACCTAAAATCAATATACATTTCATAACCTAAATTAACATTAATATGAACATTTTGTAACAATTTTCACATTTGTACATATAAATGAACACGATTACTGCCTATACAATAATATAAATAAACATATAACAAAATATAACTACTTCTTACACAAAATATAACAACATACAACACTTGTTCGATACATAATAACATGTTTGGTACAAACAAACTAAACATATAACAAAATATAATTGTTGCCTACACTATAATAGACAACACTACTAGTGCAGCGATAATATCACAAAAATATTTAACAGTGGTTGGATAACCTATTTGAATGTAACCAACATTACCAATGATTGTTAAACAGTTAATAGTAGTAGAAATATCTAACACAATATAAAATATCTAAGGTATCAACTGATTTACTAAGGTATTCATATGATTTTGGTAGGCCACTTTATAGCCACGTTTGCTTTTCTTTCTCTTGAAAGCTTAGAAACAGTAGTGGACTATTGAGAAGATGCTACAACAAGGTGAGAAGATGCTGCAACAGAGTTAGAAGTTGTATCAGGGTGAGATGTTGTAGTAGGGGCTTGAGATGTGATTATCTAACTTGATCTTATGTGTGGTTTAGAAGGCAAAATATGGCTTGGCCTTCCAAGCTGTTTGTGGACAAATTTTTTTAGCAACCTCAACAATTTAAATAACAAAGTGTAATGTTTTAGTAAACAAAATAATTTACCGTTAAAATTGGAGTCCTATGTTTTCATTTGAATAAATTCTCAACCTTGCATAATTGTTCTTCCTCTTGGCCTGTGTGTTATGACATTGTATCTCGGTGTCTTATTTGATGCTTATGTTGGAGTTGGTTATTGAGTAAGTAAAGAAATTGGCATTGGTTGGATAGGTGGTTGAGAAAACTCTATTTGTACAACATTATCTTGAACCTATCAATTACAATTTATCAATTGGATATATGTTACAAAAACACATTTACAGTAAAATAAAAACTTACATTGACTGAATTTTTGTTCGGACACGTTCTTATATTATGTCCAAGAACCCCACAAATTCTCCAACTGATCCTTACTCCTCGGCTAGACCACTTGTTTTTAGTACGCATTCCAACTTTTTTTTTTGCTTTAGTCTTCTAGGTAAGTTTCTCTTCAATGATGGACCAAGATTATTCATTTTAGTGTCTTTTCAGAATTTTTCACTTAGGATCAAAGGTAGAAAAGCATTGTACAAATCAACATATGCATATTTTTATATGCATCAAATACAAAATCTTTTAAATCTTTTAATTTGTCTCTTCTATACAATATGACACATATAGCATGGAAGTATGAAAAACATGTTAGGTCTCGTGCTCGACAAGTACATGACCAGCCCCTAATATCAACAATAAATATGTCTTGATGACACATGACCTCATACCCTTCAACTTCATTCCAAATTACATGATAAATTGCACTAATACCCTTTTGAATTTCAAGTTTTTTCAATTCTAAGTCATTTCTCACCTTTCCAATTTAGTGTTTTTTTTCTTGTACTAAATTAGCCTAAGCATGACATAATATCAAATGTCTTCAAACATTAAGATTATATACTTAAACTTAACCCCTAGAATGATCGAATTAAAAGCCTCTGAAAAATTAT